AGAGGAGAGTTAATTGAGAGAGATAGAGCAAACCAAAGAGAGTGAGAGATGTGAGGCGGAGAGACCGTCTCTCTCAGTGTGAGCGAGGGAGACGGGTGAGTGGGTGAGTGAGGAAAGTGTGAGCTCCTCCTCTATTATAATCTTTTTGTAATCTCTTCATTGTTATAGTGATAACCGATTACTCTCCCGTGTATATAGGCATTGAGGCCGAACCATGTTAAATATGATATCTCCGGTGTGTTTTTCTGCTTGGTATAATTTCTGGAAGGTCTTCGGCGAAATCCCCGATCACCAACATATTTCTTACCTGGTCGATCTTCTTCTTGCAATAGCAACTTTTGAAAGCCCCTTTTCTTAGGTATAGTGACCCTCTCAGACATTGCCGCTCGAGCCATGGCCATGGACCCTTTAAAATGCACTGGTGAATTTTTTCTCTTCCTTCGCCTCTCTTCCCTCATCTCTTCCTTCCTTGATCTCGACCAAACTTTCTTGTTAACAGCTCACACCCATCGATCCCTTATTCTTCTCTGCTTTCCACATAGGTCACTTGGATTAGGTTTTCGGTGGAATCAAATAAGGGATATGATTTCTGAAAATTTAAATTTATTTGATTGGTCTGGATTTTTATTACTATGCAGTCCAATCTCTCTCTCTTTTTTTTTTTCTTTTTTTCTTTTAAAGGTGCAAGGGAAAAGTTACAACAGCAAGAAAAGAAAAGAGAGTTAGTCCCTCTCATACACCACATCTAACATATCAGCAACAATCAAATGTCTCATCTGGACAGATGGGTCACCACAAAGTTTTTAGATTGTTCTACTCCTATTTTAGCTAATGCATTAGCACATTGGTTTGCCTCTCGATTAATATGCTTGATACATGATCCAGTTCTTTGGAGCAAAAATCTTGACTCTTTTAATTTGTGCCTTGAAAGGAAATTCACATGGTGCCCCTTCGATTCCCCTCTTGCACTTCCATCGGTATTTAGCTTCAGTTTTCCTGCACATGGACAAAACCATTTAATTAATTTTGGTATTTGTATTTCTGAAGTTGAAAACAGAAAGGCTTTTCTTTAATTTCTTTGACAAGAGTGTGAATCCTCATTCGGTTCGATTTCTGCCTTCTCAAAGATGAATTGTCCATCTGGTATGCAATGCAATCTGGTTGTGTGGAAAAATAGCACGTGGCCCACCCCAATCTAGTCTGGTCCATAGCCCTAGAGAGCATCTCCACTAGCCCTGGACAAAGTTTGGGCCTAGTATATTTTTAACCCAAGTCATTCCAACTTTGGGTCTAGTAATTTTTTTTGGGCAAATTATTATAGAGGTATCTGTGCTTTGGTATTTGTGTCATTTTAATTCATATAATTTTAATTAGTTTGATTTTGATTTTAAATTTATGATTTTGTCTCAATTTGATTCCATTGATTACAATGCTTAATATTTTTTTTATAAAAAATATGCACATAAGTGTCATGTCCCATATTTTTAAGGGCAACATTATAAACTTACTCAACTCAGTGAGTTAATTCCAATCAATTTAGTAATAATTTTTCTTATAAAATACTAACAATATTATCAATTGGATCAAATTAACATAAAATCTAAAATTAAAGATTAAAATCGAGTCAATTAAAAATGTAAAAACCAAATTAACATGAGAGATAACACATAAGGGCCACCGGCGTCAGTTGCCCTTTTTTTTTGGTTAATTGTTTTGGCTTCATGTTTGGCTTGTTAAAATTTCATTTGCAATCAACTTATTCTGTAAATAAGTCAAGTTTAAACAAATTTTAAAACTCATCAAGTTTTAAATTAAACTTGAATAACAGCTTAAACATGCTTTAAAATTCATCAAGCTCTCAAATTAAATTTGAATAACTTACTGCTCAATTTAAATTGGTTCGTTTGAAATCTTATTGGTTACTCCAATAACTATTTTGTTATTTATTTATTGCTGGCCCTTTTTTCTATAAATACTCAGGGCTCTCCGTATTCCTCCTAATAACAAATGAACACACAGAACTTTTTAAAAATCTCTTCGTATGTGTTTGATACAATTCTTTATAAGTTGAGAACGGATAATCAAAAAATAAATTTTAAAAACACATCTCTTTAAACTTTTAATTAATTAATTTTTTAAATTTATTTAAGTAACTTAAATCTAATAAGTTATAAAAAGTCTCGTACAAACTTCAAAAAAGGAATTAAATGATAATAATAAATAATTCATATAAGTTGTACTAAACAACTCATTATTTAAAGTTGACATGTGGCTAAAATGGAATTGGTGGATTATTGAGTATCTATGTGACAATTACCTACTGGAAATGGGGTGACTGTTGTGTAGCTATAGGGATTTATTTTGAGGTCCGTTTTAATAATTCGAGTCATTTATATTTTAAAGTATATCAAGTAGAATATATCTGTAAAAAATTAAATTAATCGGATATCATTAATCATTTCATCAAATTGCATTTGTATCTATAAAAATAAATGACAATTGTGATTTAAAGTATAAAAATAAATATAAATGTGAGGGATGAAATGCTTAACGATATCCGATTAACCTGATTTTTTGTACGTAAGTTTTACTCGGTATACTCTAAAATGTGAACGATTCAGATTATCGAAACGGGTCAAAAAATGGTTCATATTACTGCACAACAGTAGTTGTTGTGCCCCGCAACAAGCTAAAAAAAAGAAGAATAAATGATGTATTGTCAAGTATTGTTTATTTTTTAGAAATAAACAAGCTAAAATAAAAATATATGACTATTGAATTGATCTAATTTTTTTTTATGAATAATATACACACAGAATCTTACAAAATAAATAGTTTAAACTATCAAAATAAAACCCGTAACGAGCCCTACAAGTTCCAAGCCCCTTGATATATGATACAGGGTAAATTACACCAATGGTCCCTCTAATTTGAGCGAAATTTCACTTTAGTTTCCGTAGTTTCAATTTGAATAATGTGATTCTTGAATTGCTTAACATTTTGAATGGAAAAAACCACTTGCAAAATTAGAGGAACCAAAATAGTATTCAAAAGAAACTATAAAGACCACTGATATAATTTATTCATTACACCGGTGGTCCATATAATTTGTTATGAATTCCACTTTGATCACTCTAATTTTACAAATAGTCTTTTTCCATTCCAAATTCTAACATTAAGTGATAGAGGGATCACTCGCAATAAAGTTAAAGAAAAATTATTCATCCACACAATTTCTTTCCCCCACAATCCCTCTAATGACGTGGGAAACAAAATTTGAAAAGTTGACTCACATTCAAATATTCCTTCAAAACTCTCCTTACATGTATTTTATCTTGCCATCTCATTAGGGAATTGTGGGAAAAAGAAATTGTGTGAATGTAAGACTACTAAAAATTAAAAATATAATAGTCAAATTATTTAAATTAAAATTATAGTGACTAAAGTGATATTTTACTTAAACTATTCGAACTAATAATGTAATTTAAACTCTATAATATATATTGTAGGACTTAAAAGAGTGTTTCTTACCTTTTCTTGAATTCACTTTTGTGAAGAAATATTTTTCTCTATTTTTGACAAGGGATTGATTTATCAGAGAGGCTCAACGTGAAAAGGGGGTAAGAGAAAACAAAACCAATCTTGAATCTTACGGCTCAAATAATTGATATCTTAACTCATTAGTGGAAAGTCCTCTTCTTGTTTACTCGGTTTTCTTTTGTTTTGTTTCCGTGTGGCCACTTTGTGACTGGAAAGGAAGTCCTCCTTTCAGGTTGTTTACTTTCACTTGATGGGTACCCAAGCTGGCTATGCCGTATATTAGGGTTTTTTTAGTTAGGGTGATGTTTAATAACCTAAAGGTTACTAATACAGAAATCACTCATAGGATTAGACACATGGATAGATAAGAATTTTTAAAAGCGAGTTTTACTAATAAATTTTATAAAATCTTACCTATATACATTTTGTATTCCAGTCACTCACTTCTGCCATGCTGCAACCCCATCCATATTTGTTGTCACCCCACTCCAGCCTTCCTTTATCAACGTGACCCCTACCTCTCGCAACCCTCTAGCCCAGCAAACCTCAATCCTCGCAAACCCCACAACCCCGACTGAAAGATCTCATCGGCAAAGCTGGGATCAATCCTAGATAGTCTCGGCCATATGGCAATAGAGGAGGTCAAATGATGATCAAGGAGGTGGACGAGAACAAGTGCATCAATCTAGATGAGTTCATTGAGCTCAACACCAAGGACATCGACTCTAATATGATTTTGGAGAACTTAAACAAGGCGTTCTTAATGTTCAGTATTGCTGTTGGGCTGTGGCAAAAAGAGATTGGGCTGAAGAGGGGAGGGGTTAGAAACAGTGACCAAAAGTTAGGGATGAACGAGAGAGGGTGATCGAAGTTGTTAGTGGTAGGTGAAACAAGATTAGGGTTTAGAAAGTTAAGAATAAGAATACAATTAAAATTTTATAATTGAGGAAAATTATAATAAATAAATATAGTATGAAGGAATAGGGATCCAAAAAATAAGTAGTGCTTTGTAAAACCCAATTTGAAAAATTTTAAGATAAATCTAGCAATGGTTAAAAAAATATATAAAATGTCTCAACAATTAACAATGACATCATTTCCAAGCCCCCAACCCCACGGCTGCGACAAGTTCAAAATTGGTTAGATTTGAGTCCAATTGGAATTGGCCCACCAATAATAGATCATGCATATGTTGTATACATAGGTCAAGATTGTGCTTTATATATCTATCTAATAGCCTCTTGACTTTTGAGAAAGTAAAGAAAGTAAATAATACACCAAGAGTGGTTGGCCAGCCTTAATCCACGGGGGGGTTGTAACTTGTAATTCATGCCCACTTGACATTCCAACAATAGTCTACTCACTAATATAGATCTCATATATATATATACATTATATCTCTTCCAACCTGCTTTGCATTAGAGAGAGGGAGATAGAGAAAGAGAGAAACAAACACTAATATGGGTAGTTGTTTTTCTAGCAGACCATCATCATCATCTACAACATTGTTGAAGACCATTAGAGTTGTACACATGAATGGCCATGTGGAGGACTTTGAGCATTCGGTGACCGTCGGTGAAGTCACCGGCAAGCCACCGAGGCATTTTGTGTGTACTCGAACTCAACTCGTGTCCGGAGAACCCAAGCCACTCAAGCAAGAAACTCAACTCGAACTTGGTAATGTTTACTTCATGTTACCGTACTCGACTATTCAGTCTGGTGTCTCTCCAGTAGACTGGGCCTCTATTGCTAAAAAGCTCACCCGGGTTGCAAAAACTAGCAAACCCCAATTGGCTAACAAGTCACCCCTAAGAAATTTTCTTTCTTCTGGCTCGAGTCCGGTTTGGAGTTCACCGGCTACAAGTCCTAACCGGTTTTCTGGGTCCGTAAAGGCGCAGTCATGGAAGCCGTTTTTGGACACCATTAGAGAGAGGTCGTTTAATCGAAGAAGCGAATCGGATTTACAAGAAACTCAATCATTTGGAGACTCTGTCTCTAAAAGTGAATTTGAGTTATTATGAGATAGACTTTTATTCTTTTACTTAATCTCTGTAAACAAAAAGAGATGTTTTTATGTAACCAAGTAGTAATGTATGTACAAAGATTCCATGAATTTGATGCCTATAATCAGCAATTTAAATTCATCAGCAATAAAAAAAAAATAAAAAAAAAATATTTAATCAAGATTCAAGACAAGCATAGGTCACTTAGATTATGTTTTCAGTGGAATCAAACAAGGGATATGATTTCTAAAAATTTAAATTTATTTGATTAGTCTGGATTTTTATTACTATGCAATCCAATCTCTTTTTTTAAGGTGCAAAGGAAAAGTTACAACAGCAAGGAAAGAGAGTTACTCCCTCTCATACACCACACCTAACGTATCAGCTACAATCAACTGCCTTATCTGGACAGGTGGGTCTTCATTGACCACAAAGTTTTCAGATTGTTCTACCCCTATATTAGGTAATGCATTAGCACATTGATTTGCCTCTCGATTAATATGCTTGATACATGATCCAGTTCTTTGGAGCAAAAATCTTGAGTCTTTCAAATTGTGCCTCGAAAGGAAATTCACCTGGTGCACCTTTGATCAGCAGGTCCACTTCTTTCTGGCAATCTGTTTCTACTTGGATCTCCCTCCACCCTTTCTCAAACATGATGGTCAGCCCTCTATATATTCCCTCCATTTCTGCTTCTAGGCTGTCCGCCATCTCCAGCTTTCCTGTGTATCTCAAAATCAGTGACGGAGTTAAAAAAAATAAATTAGAGGGGCCACTTATCAATTATAACATTGAAAGTTTTTATATGAATATTTCATCTAAATTTTTACGATTGACTTAAAAAAAATTAAAAGGAAAAACAAATGTTATTTGTAACTAATGTATCATGTCATGAATATAAGTTTTAAAATAAATTATATAATGATAAAGTAATTTTTTATACAAGATTTGAGTAAAAATTTAATATAATAGTAATATTACGCCATCATTGTCATGTGATATCATTAGCCAATAGTAAAAAAACACATAAAGGATGAACCACACTTGTCAATAAAGGATGAACCACACCTGTCAATAGATTCATCTTTAATCTAATAAATCTCATATCTTCATTGAGATTAATTACATTTGTATGTCAATAATGATAGGTATCACCATTATATTGAAATTTTCATAAATAATAATATGAATTATCGTAATCTCTTTATTTTCAATCAAAACTTCCATTATTATTCTCATAATTTTAAAAATGTAATTGACATTTCACTTTAAATAATATTTTTATAAATTTTTTTATTTAAAATATGTTCTTTATATTTGCAAAAAAATAAAATAAAAAAATCCAAAGCCCAAGTGGGCACGGACCCTGGACCCTCTATACCTCCGCCACTGAATCCAGGTGCATATTTCATCCTGTGATAAGCCTCAAAATCCAGGTTTTCCTGGTTCCCCTCTTGCACTTCCATCAATATTTAGCTTCAGTTTTCCTGCACATGGACAAAACCATTTAATTAATTTTGGTATTTGTATTTCTGAAGTTCAAAACAGAAAGGCTTCCTTAATTTCTTTGACAAGAGTGTGAATCCTTACTAGGCTTTCATGAGGTTTGATTTCTGCCTTGTCAAAGGTGAATCTATTTCTGTCTTTCCAGATTTGCCAAGAGATAACTGCAAACCAGCTCCAGGCTTGTCCATCTGGTGTACAATGCAATCTGGTTGTATGGAAAATAGCCCATGGCCCACCCCAATCTAGTCTGGTCCATAGCCCTAGAGAGCAACTCCCCTAGCACTGGACAAAGCTTGGGCCTAGTATATTTTCATACCCAAGTCATTCCAAGTTGGGGTCTAGTAATTTTTTTTTTGGACAAATTATGATAGTGGTACTTATATTTTGGTCTTTATGTCATTTTAATTTTTATAATTTCAATTAGTTTGATTTTGATTATGAATTTATGATTTAATCTCAATTTGATTCGATTGGTTACAATGCTAAGCATCTTCTTCTTTTTTTTATATTATATATATATACATATATATAAAATATGCACATAAATGTCATGTGTCGTATTTTTAAGAACAAAATTATAAATTTACCTAACTCAGTTAGTTAATCTAAATCAATTTAGTGATACTTTTTGTAAAAAAATCCTAACGATGTTATCAATTAAATCAAATTGACATAAAATCTAAAATTAATAGTCAAAATCGAGTCAATTGAAAATGTAAGAATCAAAATAACAAAAGGGATAAAATATAGGGGGCACGGGTATAATTTGCCCCTTTTTTTTTTGTGATTGTTTGGGCTTCATGTTTGACTTGTTAAAAATTTATTTGCAATCGATTTATTATATAAACAAATCAAATTTAAACAAATTTTAAAAATCGTCAAGTTTTAAAATTAAACTTTAATGACTTATTATTCAACTCGATAAGTTTATAAACAAGTCAAACTCGAACATGCTTTAAAATCCGTCACATTCTCCAATTAAACTTGAAAATACTACTCCTTTGGAATCAGCTCGTTTGAAACCTATCGGTTACTCCAAATTTCAGCAACTACTTTTCAAGTTCTCCAATTAAACATGAACATACTACTCCTTTGGAATCAGTTCGTTTGAAACCTATCGGTTACTCCAAATTCCAATATATATTTTTTGCTAGCTCTTTTTGGTATAAATACCCAAGCCATTCCCTATTTCTCGTAATAACAAATAAACACACAGAACTTTTCAAAAATTTATTTGTATGTGTTTGATACAACTTTTACAAGTTAAGAACTGATAATCAATAATATAGATTTTAAAAACACATCTCTCTTAATTTTCAAGTAATTAACTCTTTTATTTTATTTAAATGACTTAAATCTAATAAGTTATAAAAAGTCTCATTCAAACTTTAAAAAAAGAATTAAATAATAATAATAAATAGGTCATATAAATTGTACCAAACAACTCACTATTTAAAGTCCACATGCGGCTAAAAAGGAATGGGTGGATTATTGAGTATCTATGTGGCAATTACCTCCCAAAAATGGGGTTTCTGTTGTGCCCCACAATTATAAATTTATTTCGGAATCCGTTTTGATAATAAAAATCATTTAAATTTTAAAATATATCGACTAGAATGAATCTAAAAAAAATTAAATTCATCAGATATCGTTAATCATTTCATCAAATTACATTTGTATCTACAAAAATATAAAAATTAATACAAATGTGAATAGATGAAATGGTTAACAATATCCGATTAACTTGATTTTTTGCAAGTATATTGTACTCGATATACTCTAAAATGTAAATAATTCATATTATCGAAACGGACTCCGAAATGGACTCATATTACCGCATAACACATTCCTTTTTTTTGGAATGGAGACCTCTAGTTTAGTAATAGACCTATAGTACAATTAAAAAATTAAGAATAAATAATGTATTTTCAAATATTGTCTATTTTTTAGAAATAAATACGTTAAAATAAAAATATTATGATTGTTGAATTGATCTACTATTTTTTTTTAAAAATAATATACATAGAGAACATCGAAATAAAACTCGTAATGAGCCCCACAAGTTCCAAGTCTCTCGATATATAATAGAGAGGAAATTACACCAATGGTTCCTCTAGTTTGAGCGAAATTTCACTTTATTAGTTTCCGTAATTTCAATTTGAACAGTGTGATTCCATTGTCATGCGTTGCTTAACATGCTGAATGGAAAAAATGTCTTGCACAATTAGAAAAACCAAAATAGTATTCAAAAGAAACTATAGAGAGCCCACTGGTGTAATTTATTCATCATTACACCAGTTGTCCACATAATTTATTTTGAATTCCACTTTGATCCCTCTAATCTAATTTTACAAATAGTCTTTTTTCGTTCTATATTCTAACATTAAGTGATAGAGGGACCACTCGCAATAAAGTTAAAGAAAAATTATTCATCCACACCATTTATGTCCCCCACAATCCCCCAATGACATGACAAGTAAAATTTAAAAAGTTGACCTATATTCAAATATTCCCTTAAAACTCTCTTTACATGTATTTTGTCTTACCACCTCATTAGAAATTGTGAAGAAAAGAAATTGTGTGGATATAACACTGTTGAAAATTAAAAATGTAATAGTCAAATTACTTAAATGGAAATTACAGTGACTAAAATGGTACTTTACTTAAATTATTAGAACTAATGATGTAATTTAAACCCTATAATATATTGTAGGTCTTAAAAGAGTGTTTCTTACCTTTTCTTGAATTCATTTTTGTGAAGAAATATTTTTCTCCATTTTTAACCAAGGATTGATTCATCAGAGAGGCTCAACGTGAAAAAGGGGTAAGAGAAAACAAAACCAATCTTGAATCATACGGCTCAAATAATTGATATCTTGACTCATTATTGGAAATTCTTCTTCTTGTTTACTTTGTTTTCTTATGTTTTGTTTCCCTTTGGCCACTTTGTGACTGGAAAGGAAGTCCTCCTTTTAGGTTGTTTACTTTCACTTGATGGGTACCGCAGCTGGCTCTGCCGTATGTTACGGTTTTTTAGTTAGGGTGATGTTTAATAACCTAAAGGTTACTAATACAGAAATTGCTCATAGGATCAAACACATGGATAGATAAGAATTTTTAAAAGCGAGTTATGCTAATAAATTTTATAAAATCATATCTATTAATATACATTTTGTGTTCCACCCATTCACTTCTGCCACTCTCCAACCCTATCCATATCTGTTGTCACCCCTCTCCAGCCTTTCCCGATCACCATGACACTTACCTCTTGCAACCCTTTGGCCTAAAAAACCTCCATCCTCGCAAACCCCACAACTCCTACTGAAAGATCCAATCAAGGGGGTGGACTCCGACGAGGACAAGTGCATCAATCTAGATTAGAAATAGGCGTCGTGTCATGTTTAGTCGTATTTGTGTCGTGTCATCTCGGGTTCATGTCAGAACTATCTCAACACTAATCTGACTTGTTTATTATTTTGTGTTGTCATGTTGTATCATTTTCTGTCCGTCTCCAGTTCGTGTCGTGTTAATATGTCATGTTAAAAAATATCAAATGTGTGAAAAAAAAAATTAAAAATTTATTTACAAGTTAAATTTAATGAAATTAATCTCTATAAAAAAAATTATTTATAAAAATATTTGATTTCAACTTAATATTTTCTTAATTTATAAAAATTATATTTTATTATTATATTTTTTACTAGATTAAATCAAATAATAGACAAAAAAAATATATTAAGTTTAATTAAAAAAAAAAGAAAAAGAAATCTATATTAAACTTAAAATCACATTTTACATACTTTTTAATAAATTGGATGTAATTACGTAAGAGATTAAAAAATGTCAAGATAATCTTTAATAGAAATAATATTAAAATGTGTAACTAATCCTTCATTAGACGGGTTATCCGTGTCAATTTTTTGTTATACAGATCAGACACTAACCCAGTCTATTTAATATTTGTGTTATCGGATCATGTCATATACATATTCGGGTTAGAAAATGATTAATCTTAACCCGCTAATTTCGTGTATGATTCAAGTCGTGTTATTATGTCGTGTTGCAAATTTCCATCCCTAATCTAGATGAGTTCATTAAGCTCAACGCTAATGACATTGACTCTAACAGGGTTTTAAAGAACTTAAACAGGGCATTCTCAAGGTTCGGCATTGTAGTTGGATGGTGGCAAATAATAATTGGGTTGGAGAGGGGAGGGGTTAGAGATGGTGACCAAAGTTAGGGATGGACAAGATAGGGTGAAATAATATTAGGGTTTAGAAGGTTAAGAAGAATAAAATTATAATTTTATAATTAAAAATAATAAAAAAAGTATGAAGGAATCGTGATCCAAAAAATTAGCGCTTTGTAAAACCCAATTTGAAAAATTTTAAGATAAATCTAGCAATGGTAAAAAAATATGTAAAATGTCTCAAAAATTAACAATGACATCATTCCCAAGGCCCCAACCCCACGGCTGCGACAAGTTCAAAATTGGTTAGATTTGAGTCCAATTGGAATTGGCCCACCAATAATACATCATGCATATATGTAGGTGAAGGGTGTGATTTATATATCTATCTAATATCCACTTGACTTTTCAGAAAGTAAATAATACACCAAGAGTAGCTGGCCAGTCTTAATCCACTTTTTTTTTTTTTTCTGGGGGTGGGGTGGTTTGTAGCTTGTAATTCATGTCCACTTGACATTCCAACAAAAGTCTACTCACTAATATAGATCTCATATATATATATATATATACACACGCCTTATATCTCTTCCAATCTTCTTTGCATTAGAGAGAGAGAGATAGAGAAGAGAGAAACAAACACTAATATGGGTAGTTGTTTTTCTAGCAGATCATCATCATCATCTACAACATTGTTGAAGACCATTAGAGTGGTACACATGAATGGCCATGTGGAGGATTTTGAGCATTCGGTGACCGTCGGTGAAGTCATCGGCAAGCCACCAAGGCATTTTGTGTGTACTCGAGCTCAACTTGTGTCCGGAGAACCCAAGCCACTCAAGCAAGAAACTCAACTCGAACTTGGCAATGTTTACTTCATGTTACCGTACTCAACTATTCAGTCTGATGTCTCTCCAGTAGACTTGGCCTCTATTGCTAAAAAGCTCACCCAGATTGCAAAAACTAGCCAACCCCAATTGGCTAACAAGTCACCCCTAAGAAATTTTCTTTCTTCTGGCTCGAGTCCGGTTTGGAGTTCACCGGCTACAAGTCCTAACCGGTTTTCTGGGTCCGTAAAGGCGCAGTCATGGAAGCCGTTGTTGGACACCATTAGAGAGAGGTCGTTTAATCGAAGAAGCGAATCGGATTTACAAGAAACTCAATCTTTTGGAGACTCTAAAAGAGAATTTGATTTATAAGGTAGGTTTTTATTCTTTTACTTAATCTCTGTAAACAAAAAGAGATGTTATTATGTAACCAAGTAGTAATGTATGTACAAAGATTCCATGAATTTGATGCCTATAATCAGCAACTTAAATTCATCAGCAGTAAAATTTTTTAAAAAATTTATTTAATCAAGCTTCAAGACAAGCATAGGTCACTTAGATTATGTTTTCAGTGGAATCAAACAAGGCATATGATTTCTAAAAATTTTAATTTATTTGATTAGTCTGGATTTTTATTACTATGCAATGCAATCTCTTTTTTTAAGGTGCAAAGGAAAAGTTACAACAGCAAGAGAAGAGAGTTACTCCCTCTCATACACCACACCTAACGTATCAGCTACAATCAACTGCCTCATCTGGACAGGTGAGTCTTCAGTGACCACAAAGTTTTCAGATTGTTCTACCCCTATATTAGCTACTGCATTAGCACATTGATTTGTCTTTGGAGCAAAAATCTTGAGTCTTTCAATTTGTGCCTTGAAAGGAAATTCACCTGGTGCACCTTTGATCAGCAGGTCCACTGCTTTCTAGCAATCTGTTTCTACTTGGATCTCCCTCCACCCTTTCTCAAACATGATGGTCAACCCTCCATAGCTTGGTTTGGGAGGCTTTTTGGCTTTTTTGGCTATTTTAACCTAGGGCTAAAAAGTTTGATTTGGGAAGAGATTTTGGCTTTTTTGACTTTTTTGATTTTTTTGTAAGAGAAAGAATGTAATGATTATAGATTTGATGTGATTGTTTGCCTTATTGGGCTAAAAAGCCTATTTTGTTTTTTTGTGGCTATTTTAGCCAAAAAAACCACAAAACCTTCTTCCCAAACATAAGCTATATATTCCCTACATTTCTGCTTCTAGGCTGTTTGCCATCTCCAGTTTTCCTGTGTATCTCAAAATCAGTGACGGAGCTAAAAAAATTAAATTAGAGAAGCCACTTATCAATTATAACATTGAAAATTTTTACGATTGACTTAAAAAAAAATTTAAAAACAAAAACTAATGTTATTTGTAACTAGTGTATCATGTCATGGATATAAGTTTTAAAATAAATTATATAATGATAAAGTAATTTTTTATACAAAATTTGAGTAAAAAATCAATATAATAGTAATACTACATCATCATTGACACTTTGATATCATTAACCAATAGTAAAAAAATACATAGAGGATGAACCCCATATGTCAAATGTAACTAACAATCCAATAAATCTCATATCTTCATTGAGATTAATTATGTTTGTATGTCAATAATGATAGACATTACCATTATATTGAAATTTTCATAGATAATAATATGACTTATCGTAATCTCTTTATTTTTAATCAAAACTTTCATTATTGTTCTCATAATTTTAAAATGTGATTGACATCTCACATTAAATAATATTTTTATAAATTTTTTTAATTTAAAATATGTTCTTTATGTTTGCAAAAAAAAATAAATAAATAAATAAATCCAAAGCCCAAGTGGGACACGGCCCCCTGGACCCTCTACACCTCCGCCTCTGAATCCAGGTGCATTTTTCATCCAAGGATAAGCCTCAAAATCCAGCTTTTCCTGGTTCCCCTCTTGCACTTCCATCAATATTTAGCTTCAGTTTTCCTGCACATGGACAAAACCATTTAATTAATTTTGGTATTTGTATTTTTGAAGTTCAAAACAGAAAGGCTTCCTTAATTTCTTTGACAAAAGTGTGAATCCTCATTAGGCTTTCAGGAGGTTTGATTTCTGCCTAGTCAACAGATGAATCTATTTCTGTCTTTCCGGATTTGCCAACAGATGACTGCAAACAAAGTGCTCCAGGCTTGTCCATCTGGTGTACAATGCAATCTGGTTGTATGGAAAAATAGCCCATGGCCCACCCCAATCTAGTCTGGTCCATAGCCCTAGAGAGCAACTCCCCTAGCCCTGGACAAAGTTTGGGCATAGTATATTTTCATACCCAAGTCATTCCAAGTTGGGGTCTAGTAATTTTTTTGGGGGCAAATTATGATAGTGGTACTTATATTTTGGTCTTTATGTCATTTTGATTTTTATAATTTCAATTAGTTTGATTTTAATTATGAATTTATGATTTAATCTCAATTTGGTTCGATTGGTTACAATGCTAAGCATCATCTTCTTCTTCTTTTTTTTTATAATTATTATTATTATTATATATATATATATATAATATGCACATAAATGTTATGTATCATATTTTTAAGGACAAAATTATAAATTTACCTAACTCAATTAGTTAATCTAAACCAATTTAGTGATACTTTTTGTAAAAAAATGCTAACGATGTTATCAATTAAATCAAATTGACATAAAATCTAAAATTAATAGTTAAAATCGAGTCAATTGAAAGTGTAATAACCAAAATAACATAATGGATAAAATATAGGGGCCACGGGTATAAGTTGTCCCTTTTTTTGGGTGACTGTTTATGCCTCATGTTCAGCTTGTTAAGAATTTATTTGCAATCGATTTATTTTGTAAACAAATTAAATTTAAACAAATTTTAAAATTCCTCAAGTTTTAAAATTAAACTTTAATGACTTATTATCCAACTCGATAAGCTTATAAACAAGTCAAACTCAAACATAATTTAAAATTCGTCAAGTTCTCCAATTCAACTTGAATATACTACTCCTTTGAAATTTGCTCGTTTGAAACCTGCTGCTTACTCCAATAACTATTTTGTTTTGTTTTTATTTATTGCTGGCTCTTTTTGGTATAAATACCCAAGCCATTCCCTGTTTCTCGTAGTAACAAACTAGCCTATCACCCGTGTCATGTACGGGATAATTTTAGATATTTATATTTATTTTAAATTTTTTTTAATATATAAATTATATTTTTTAAGATTTTTTATAAAAATAATTTAACAATCTTATCACTAACCATAGTGTATGGGAGAAGTTGAAAAAGGTACTGCAGTAATTATACACAGATTGTATCTATAATTATTTGTATGAGGTGATTTTAAATACTGATCAGGAGTTTTTGACCAAATCAATAAATGCAGGCATATGGAAAGACATGTGGATTGAAAAAAATTAATAAATGTTGATCGGGAAATTTTGACCAAATTAATAAATGCTGTGTTTTTTTTAAAATAAAAAATTTTAAAAATTCGGATTGGGATATTGAAGCTCTCACCGGCCTTGGGGTTTAAAAACCCCCTTTTGCTTAATATATAGTACTAACATATCACCCGTGCTATGCACGAATTGTATTTACAATTATCTCTATATGTGAATTGCGATTTTTAAATGTCTTTTTTTTTTTTTTAAATGCCTTCTTTTTTTCCTTTTTTGTATTATATTAAAGTTTAATATTTTGATAATAATCATATGTGTTGGACTTTTCAAGGAATTAAATGTCTTTTTTTTTATTATATTATATTAAAGTTTAATATTTTGATAATAATCATATGTGTTGGACTTTTTAAGAATTTTCTTTTATGTTTGTTCTTAATGCATTAAAGTGTTATTATGAGGGATAATAATCATATGTGTTAGGACTTTTCAAGAAATTCGTATGTGTTAGATTTCAAAGAATTTTTTTTATGTTTGTTTATAATACATTTAAGTGTTATTATGAGGGTAGGACTTGGGAGTTGGGAGAAGTTAATAAATGCCAAGATTTTTTTTTTAAATCAAAAAATCAAAAAAAATTAAATTAGGAGATTGGACCTCTCACAAGACTTGGGATTAAAAATTCCATTTTACTTAATATATAGTATAGATAAACGCACGAAATTTTTAAAAATTTATTTGTATGTGTTTGACACAACTTTTACAAGTTAAGAATTGATAATAAAAAATATAGATTTTAAAAACACGTCTCTCTCAATTTTCAAGTAATTAACTCTTTTAATTTATTTAAATGACTGAAATCTAATAAGTTAAAAAAAAGTCGCATTCAAACTTCCAAAAAAGAATTAAATAATAATAATAATAAATAGGTCATATAAATTGTACCAAACAACTCACTATTTAAAATCCACGTGTGGCTAAAAAGGAATGGGTGGATTATTGAGTATCTATGTGACAATTACCTACCAGAAATGGGGCTTTGCTGTGCCCCCACAATTATATAGATTTATTTCGGGATTTATTTCGATAATCAAAATCATTTAAATTTTAGAATATATCGACTAGAATGTACCTAAAAAAAATATACATTGTTAACCATTTCATCGAATTACATTTGTAGCTACAAAAATATAAAAATTAATTGAAATGTGAATAGATAAAATAGTTAACGATATCCGATTAACTTGATTTTTTACAGGTATGTTATACTTGATATACTCTAAAATGTGAATAATTCAAATTATCGAAACAGACTCCGAAATGGACTCATATTACCACATAACACATTTTTTTTTTTAAAGGAATGGAGACCTCTAGTTTAGTAATAGACCTATAGTACAATTAAAAAAATAAGAATAAATCATGTATTTTCAAATATTGTTTATTTTTTAGAAATAAATACGTTAAAATAAAAATATTATGATTATTGAATTGATCTACTATTTTTTACAAATAATATACATAGAGAACACTGAAATAAAACTCTTAATGAGCCCCACAAATTCCAAGTCTCTCGATATATAATAGAAGGTAAATTACACCAGTGGTCTCTCTAATTTGAGCGAAATTTCACTTTAGTTTTCATAATTTCAATTTGAACAATGTGATTCCATTGTCATGCGTTGCTTAACATATTGAATGGAAAAAACCTCTTGCAAAATTAGAAGAACCAAAATAGTATTCAAAAGAAACTATAGAGACCACTGATATAATTTATTCACCATTACACCAGTAGTCCACATAGTTTATTTTGAATTCCACTTTGATCTTTCTAATTTTACAAATAGTCTTTTTATTGCGTTTGAATCCGTTCGAAGCCAGGTGTTTCGGATCTCTAGATTCGTGGATCCGAATCCTTTCGAGTCCGAGTGCCTCGGATCTCTAAGCTTGCCTAATACCCTTTCGAGTCCGGGCCTGAGTAAGTCTCGTGGATCCGAACCCTTTCGAGGCTTAAAGCCATTCAGCCCGTTTGACGGCGATAAATCCAAGCCCACCAATCTTTGACTTGCGATAAATTCGGGCCCACTAATCTTGGGCTATTGGGCCTAAATAATTTAGTGGGCTTAAATTAGCTCCTCTTACAATGTTTAATAACCTGAAGGTTACTAATACAGAAATTGCTCGTAGGATCAGACACATGGATAGATAAGAATTTTTAAAAGCGAGTTATGCTAATAAATTTTATAAAATCTTATCTATAAATATACATTTTGTGTTCCACCCATTCACTTCCGCCACTCTCGAACCCCATCCATATCTGTTGTCAGGTCTCTCCGGCCTTCCCCATCACCATGACACCTACCTCTTGCAACCCTTTGGCCTAACAAACCTCCATCCTCGCAAACCCCACAACCCCTACTGAAAGATCTCGTCATCAAAGCTGGGATCAATCCTGGACAGTTTTGGCCATACGGCAATGGAGGTGGTCAGATGATCATCGAGGGGGTGGACTCCGACAAGGACAAGTGCATCAATCTAGATTTGAAGCGCGTGTCGTGTCGTGTTGGATCGTATTTGTGTCGTGTCATCTCAGGTTCATGTTAGAACTACCTCAATACTAATCCGACCTGTTTATTGTTTTGTATTATCATGTCGTATCATTTTTTGTCCATGTCCAGTTCGTGTCGTGTTAATGTGTCATGTTTCACTATTAACTAAAAATATTAAATGTGTGAAAAAAAAATTAAAAATTTATTTACAAGTTAAATTTAATGAAATTAATCTCTATAAAAAAAATTATTTATAAAAATATTT